TTTTATACGCCCCAATTGCATACAGGTGCCAATCACTTATTCTTCTGTTTAAATGTCCGTCGTCTCTTTGTCTTATAAAATAAATATAACCGCCTAACAGTACGGGCCAGCCTTGAGACGTGGGGAGGGGGTTACAGAGACGGGTAGACAGATCTGTGGTGAGGGGTGAGGTTACAAGAGACGGGTAGACAGATCTGTGGTGAGGGGGTTGATCTGGTGAGGGGGGTTACAGAGACGGGTAGACAGATCTGCGGTGAGGGGGGGTTACAAGACGGAGACAGATTGTGGTGAGGGGGTTACAGAGACGGGTAGACAGACTGGGTGAGGGGGTTACAGAGACGGGTAGACAGATCTGTGGTGAGGGGGGGTTACAGAGACGGGTAGACAGATCTGCAGGGGGTTACAGAGACGACGGTAGACAGATCTGCGGTGAGGAGGGGGGTTACAGAGACGGGTAGACAGATCTGCGGTGAAGGGGGGTTACAGAGACGGGTAGACAGATCTGCGGTGAGGAGGGGGGTTACAGAGACGGGCAGACAGATCTGCGGTGAGGGGGGGGGGTTACAGAGACGGGTAGACAGATCTGCGGTGAGGGGGGGTTACAGAGACGGGTAGACAGATCTGCGGTGAGGGGGGAGGTTACAGAGACGGGTAGACAGATCTGCGAGGAGGGGGGGTTACAGAGACGGGGGAATAAACGGGGGTACAGACACGTGGAAATTACAACCAAGTCCCATAAACACTTCCTTTTATCTAGCCTCAAAAACTAACAATAGAACCGTCTCGTTATTGTTTACATTCCAACACATTATTTGCTACAGCCAATCAGAGTGCACCTAGGCTGGTCGCTTATTCTAGGGAACATTCAGTATGGCCTTGGCGGAGTTATGGTTGGGTGAAGTTGGTTAGTTAAGGTCCTCTGTGATGCTTTGTGTGTACTGTATGTATAGTGAGAATTTCGTTTTATATCAATTGTTTTATTACCAGAGATGTGTTTAACTCCTGGTCACGGGTGGGAGGGTGGTCTTTAGGTGTTGGTATTATGACGTTGAGTCCCGGGAGTAGAAAGGATCAATGAGAAACATGAGCAACATAGCTAGACCACGTGGGCATGGAACGTGTGAACCCAGCTGAAACGTCCGAGGTGACGTTTCATGGCGTCACTGGAAAACTGATGACTGATTGGTTGTAGATTCCCGCTAAAATGTGATAAGGTGACCATAGTACACTGGACAGGATGAGAGGCAGGTTTGACGTGGTCGAGGAAGGTGAAAACGGTGGAAGAGTTCAACACATAGAAAAGACCTTAGCTTGAGTATACATTATATTGTTGAGTGTGTGAGTCAAGGAAAGTGGAGGAAGATTAGGATTGAATATCTTGTATGTAGGATGTAATATTGTGTACTAGGTTTGAAATTTCGTAATATTTTCCTGGTAAAAGAACGGTGACGTTATATAATCTTCATTGTACTGGTTGGTGTACCCTAACCCTCGTTACTGTTTGCTTACTTCTCACTGTAATTATGATCAACGTAACTTTTTTGTCTGCTGAGTTGTGAATATTCCCAAATCGGTTAATACTTTTAAACTTGTCTTTTGATTCATGTTTTTGTACTTTTGACAGATGCTATGTTACTTTTGTTAAATGAATTTGTATTTTAATTTATTCTTAGTGTATTGCAATTATTCCTTTCATTTATTAATTTCATTGGCGACCTTGTTATTTTTACTGTTACCGGAGTGGTGAACTATGGTTTGACACGTGATGTTTGTGTACCTGTCGTCTTAAGTTATAGTGGCATGGACGACTTAAAACCTGTGTGTTCTTAGCAACTGCAAGGACTCCTGTTCGTATGTGGACACTCGCACCATCACCCGCTTACATAATTATACAGTCGTCCATCTAGCTGCTCTAGCACTAAAAGTCCTCCAAAGTTTTTTTTTTTTTATATTTACAACTTTCTTTTTTATTAATTTCAATCCTCCTTCTATTACAAAGACCAAGATGTTGCTTATTAAACATGTCCACAACTCCCCCCCCCCCTGCAGTTGGCTCGTCTTTCCAGCATTATACACCACCATCCTTATTATCCTCCCTCAACAACATCCTGTTTCAAGGTAAACGACTTGTTAACCCTTCATGTTGATTATTATCCAACATACACCTGATCCCACTATATCACACTCTCGGTATACAGTGTCGACACCCCATACACATGAGTCACGACCCTCCCTCTTCCGCCACCAGTGACTCGTCAGTGGCAGTCTTCCTTTATATTTCCCTCTCCATGAACAAAACCTTGCTACTTTTAGGTAAGAAATACTGGGCTTTAACTGCAGACCACGTTTAAGTACAGGTGCACTCAGCGTATTACATGATCATTCCTAGTCAACCCAGAAACTTTCTATTCCAAAGATTCCGATCCTGCTTCAGTAATACTAATCCAAAACACCAGTACAGGTTTAAGTAAAAAGAACAGAGGTAATTATTATTTCCGTATGACAACAGTTGTCATAAGGGTGATGGCAGAGCTGTTTTATAGCGGCAATATACAGTAGTTTAAAGATTTTTTATGGTTGATGATTAGTGTATGAACTACGCTAGTGTGTGACCATGTATGCTAAAGAGCAGTAACACACCATGCTGGCATGACTACCTTCACCAGCCGTGCCCTACGCGGCAACATTTCGAGAAATTTGCTGAAACAAAAACTCATTCTGTGGTTACCTGCACCTGAAAGTTGTTTACAACAGGGCCTCAAGGGGCCAAGTTGAAGGACGAATTATACAAAAGCTACTGTAATAATGGAGGATAAACAGGTAATGCTGTAACATTTGCAAGATGAAGTGTCAACAGTGACGCCACAAAGGTGTACAGCAGTGGTCCCCAACCTTTTGGGGGCCACATTTAACATTATAAATATAGTGAAGGGCACCAAAACTTTGGATCTACATTCAAGAAACAAAATCTCCTATATACTGTATAGTTATTTGCAGCTTTACACACCTGTTACCAGTTACATACGGTTTACATTTACTCTTGTACAGGACCTGTGTATTTACCCCAGTGAGAAGGCTGGCTCTCTCTCTGGGCCCAGTCTGGGGTAAATACACACGTTCTGTACACGACAGTTGTATCAAGTTATTACATATTTTCATTAATTTCACTCTTACAAAGAATCTAAAATAATTGGCAATTTTCTTATAAACCCTTGCGGGCTCCATCAGCGGGCGCCCGAACTACAGGTTGGGGATGTGTATAGCATAACGTCGACTCGGGTAATGAGGCCGACTAACTGTTCGGTCAAGTCACTGAACAAGATCAGACTTCGATCCAGCTAACTACCAACCTAACATACCAGCCTGTTAGCCAACCGTTATAACAGCCAACCAAATAATCTCTCAGCTTACAGCCAACCAAACAGCCAGCTAGCTAATATGACCGAATTATTCACTCATTAATCACCTAATTTAACATGAGGGCTGTCAGTAGAGCCATGGTAACGACTGGATGGGTGTAGTTCAGGCCAAGCACGGAAACATAAATCGTATAAGAAAGTATATTGACCCGGAAGTAAGGCTATTGTTTCCGTCAGTTTATTTGGTGGTCAGTGGAGAGGCAGCAGCAATCATCATCATCATGGACTTTTCTCTCTACCTTTCACAATCAAGCTCCACCACGCGCCATAGCCCGTGTACGCAAGACCAGCGTGGGGGTTGTTTTGAAGCAGAACATAAGCATCGTTCACCATCATAATATTACATACGTACATACATACAACTTTATATTCTCAGATCGGAGAGAAACTTTTGAAGTACAATTAACAAAAATACTTGAAGAATGATTCCTTCGTTACTGTGGACTTCAATTCTTCTAAACATAATCTGACATAGCAAACTTAAAAATACATTAAAATTTTTTCGAACAATTTTTAGCGTTATTCGATTTTTTTTTAGTTATTCGAAATTTTTTGGCGTTATTCGAACAATTTTTACGTTATTACAAGATTAAATATTAAAACAAATATATTAAAAAAAATAGATCTTCAGCCTTCCTCATGTCTGCTGTTTGACCGTGTTTACATTCTAACTGCTGTTTGTTCCTGCGGATTACGAATGCAGCCCGATTGTTTGATCTGCACGCGTCCATTCTATCTGTACAGTTCTTCACACCTCACTTGTTAACACCATTGCACAATAACTAATGTAGAGAAATGAATGCTTGAGGGATCGGTCGAGTGCTTCCGTATAGTAATCATCATCCAGAATATTCTAGTCTTGGGAGCGTGAAGGCAATAGCTCCAACCCTTCATGGTTATGTATTTTAATTGCGAGTGATTTTGAAAATATTTATAGGTTTATCAATTTGCATGTTAGACTGAGTGACCGTGAAGAGTCAACATTCTTTTTATCTCAAAGTTGATTTTACGAACTCACTAAGTATTAATCAAGTTATCAAGAAGAATCACTCGTAAATCAGGTTTGGTTTTCACGGGCAAGTAAGAGAGAGACGTTCAGCGGCCCCAATCCCGTTAAATACCTGGTGAAAGCTGCCGTCGACCCCCCTCCCTCCTTCCTTCTTTACTCCCTCCTACAGCGGTGAAGTTGTTTTTTTTTCTCTCAAATTTAAGATTGAATGACGAAATAACAGAGAGAGATGCAGTTATCAGTCAGCCGGCATGTGTTGATACACAACTCGGCTTTGGGTGGACCAGACACATTGTTTAATTATACAGTATTTGGTATATAAGACTTTCACTCACACCCAAGACTTGTGTGAAGGAGAACCTGAGCTGTAACACCCTATGGGGCACTTCGGCATTGAAATTTACACCTTAGAGTGAAACATTTCGACACCGGACGTTTTACTATTGAAAGAAACGTTTCAACGACGACTTTCCCTTGCGTAACCGTAATTAGGTTACAACGTTAGTGGCTGGAAAGTCGTGTGACCGGTACATCGCCTGGACCAGTAAGAGGCAGACGTGTGGGGGGGTGTGGCAGCAGCGGGTGGTAGTGCAGTGGCAAGCGGGGAGAGCGCGAGGTGACACTACAACTAGGAAGTGCTCAGGGAACAGGCACAACAAGACTCGTGGGAAAGAATGATCTTAGTGCGGTACGGTAGCTCGTTAAGGAAGTGTCTCCAGGGAAAAATGAAGTGATCTGTAAAGAAAATTGGGTGCATCAGGAATAAGGTGTGTTTACCTCCATTTAATTAATATATGAATACAATTTTAAACTTCATGAAGATTGAGGTCGCGTCAGTGGCGAAATAAAGTGTGTATGAACTGTACATTCTCGACTCACGGCTCGTCCTCCACCCATCACTCTTGGTCCCGACAAACCCCGGATGTTACAGATGAAGAGAGTATAATAGAGATGTATTGTTACCGAGTGTGCCCCTCCCCCGCCCATAACCCGTTAAAGCTGACGCATGGCAATAGCATACATTCCAACACACAGAAAAGTTTGTAGAAAATAATGTATTGGAAGAACTATCTACAAGGAAGTTCAAATGAAATGAACCAGAGTTGGAATTAGTGACAAAAAGTTTCCTGAGAACATCTGTTGAGAAAGCAGAGTGTGGGGGCGAGTACACAGTGACGAATGTGGTTCTGGGTGTTTTCCTCCTGGTAAACTAGCACATATACACATCATCCTCTCCCTGTGGTAACCATCTGGCTGGTGGCGTCTGAGTCCCACTTAATTTATAAACTGGAGGAAGACAGCACACACTGGCATCCCCTCTTCATGCCTGTGTGTGCCTGGCCGTGTGTGAGGACTGTTGGCCGGGGGAACTAATCCGACCAACACCCTAAAGGAACACTAGTATACCGTAAGTAACACTGTCATAACAACCAGTGGGTGTGGTGAAATGAGCCATCCTAGGTTCAACAGGTAACACACGTATACCGTATTTATTCTACCTTCATTCTAGGACACGTTTCTAAACTTTCTGTTCATTAGTTGCCCTCCACCACACTACTACTACTGTTCAACACGGGGCTCTATAAAGGCTGGTTTATTTAACTAACGACCTGGAGTGTGTCGTGATTTAAGGGAGATTGACATAGTTACGCTCCAACGATAAGTAATGATTTTGTTTTTTATCCATTTCTGAATCCTTTTAGGGGTAACTACAGGCATCAGATTAACTAAGGTACAGCATATGGTACGATTAGGATTACGTTTGTCCCTTGGGTGGTATTTAAATCGGGGTTGACAAGACAAGAGGGTCAGTGAACCTTGAGGTGAGCAGTAGGGAAAGAGCGGTTGCTTACTGACTCTGCTCATGTTTACAAGTGTGGGTACTGTTATTCCTTGAGGATCTACAGTGTGAAGTGAGTCAGTCTAGATGATGATGTGAAGTGAGTCAGTCTAGATGATGATGTGAAGTGAGTCAGTCTAGATGATGTAGTGAAGTGAGTCAGTCTAGATGATGTAGTGAAGTGAGTCACAGTCGAGATGATGTAGTGAAGTGAGTGAGTCTAGATGATGATGTGAAGTGAGTGTCTAGATGATGATGTGAAGTGAGTCAGTCTAGATGATGTAGTGAAGTGAGTCACAGTCGAGATGAAGTAGTGAAGTGAGTCAGTCTAGATGATGATGTGAAGTGAGTCACAGTCGAGATGAAGTAGTGAAGTGAGTCACAGTCGAGATGAAGTAGTGAAGTGAGTCACAGTCTAGATGAAGTAGTGAAGTGAGTCACAGTCTAGATGAAGTAGTGAAGTGAGTCACAGTCTAGATGAAGTAGTGAAGTGAGTCACATTCTAGATGAAGTAGTGAAGTGAGTCACAGTCTAGATGAAGTAGTGAAGTGAGTCACAGTCTAGATGAAGTAGTGAAGTGAGTCACAGTCTAGATGAAGTAGTGAAGTGAGTCACAGTCTAGATGAAGTAGTGAAGCGAGTCAGTCTACCCTGTATATGAAGTGAGTCAGTCTAGATGTAGTGAAGTGAGTCAGTCAACCCTGTATATGAAGCGAGTCAGTCTAGATGTAGTGAAGTGAGTCACAGTCTAGAGGAAGCAGTACCTGTACCACTCCTCCCGCCAGGTAAACGTGCATCACTCGAGCGCCTCATGACAATGGGTAGAGTCTTGGTGTGCTGGGGGAGGTGGGGATAAACTGTACTGTACAAGAGCAAAACGCAATACATTCATCACACTACAGTTTTATACACTACGTCTCCTGTCACAGAGGTGTTGGTGAGAAGCAACAGGATGCGGGTGTGGTGGCTCGTGGTAGTGGCGGCCACGGTGCAAAGGAGCCAGCAAGGTTTTCTGGGAGAGATTATCTCTGGCCTGCGCGACCTGCCCGTCATCGGTAACGTTCTGCGGGCGGCTGTTCACCCCATCTACAGGCCGCTTGTCAGACAATTTCAGCCAGGAATTACCAGCAGTAAGTTGATTCTACATTACTTACACTATCTTACTAACAGGATATGTTGTGTATTATATATTTCTTAATTTATATCTGAACTTAATTGTTGCGAGTCAAGTAACTACAGTACGAGCATTATATTCTCTTGTAGATAACTATAGTAACCCTTTAACACCACTCAGGGGAGGGGGAGGACGAACTCTGTTACGAGGACCTGGGTTGTCTCCTCACCCACGACGACTTCTTCCACCCCATCCACCGCCCACTCAACCTTCCACCCAACACACGGGAGGAGATCTATGTTTTATTTACCGTCCACTCCAGGAAGGATAGTCTGGGGACCCAAGTGGAGGGCATCAACCTGACCAGAGTCCTCACCAACACCACCTTCACACCGACGAGGAAGACCAAGATCATTATACACGGGTTCTTGGAGACGAACACCGAGACGTGGATGTTGGTTAGTAACGACGAACACACACTTGGTTCTGGTAACGTTAGTTTAAGTAGTTTATGATGATGTTACTGTATAAATAAAATATACAGGTACATGTAACAATTTAAATGTGATTAATTTCAATACATGAGACAAATAAATATCCATGACACGTTACTCAAGAAACTTCCCGTGCAGGACATGGTTCGCACCCTGCTGGTCTACGACGACTACAACGTGGTGACGGTGGACTGGTCTGGCGGGTCTCAGGCTCTCTACTCCCAGGCCACCGCTAACACTCGAGTGGTTGGCCTCGAGGTTGCCCACTTCATCAACTGGCTCAAAGACAACGCTCTTCTCGACCCCAAGGATGTACATATCATTGGTCACTCTCTTGGCTCACACACTGCAGGTGAGTGTGTTGCAAGTCACTACACTATCTCACTGAAGGATGATGCGTCAACACGGTCACAGTCTCGTGCAGTAGTTCATAGTTATCACTCTATTCCACTTCCGGCTGAGGCCACAGAGACGTTATTCTATTGTGTTGTTTTTGAAGTTTTATCTCGACATACTGTGACTGATAATTACATAAAAATGAGGTTTAAGGCAGACTCTTGTATCACATGAAACTGTCCACTACATCTTGTGGCGGTGCTGCAGGGTACGCCGGAGAGCGGGTGTCCGGGCTGGGCAGGATCACCGGGCTGGACCCCGCCGAGCCCTTCTTCCAGCACATGCCACCCAGCGTCCGCCTCGACCCCTCCGACGCCGTGTTTGTTGACGTCATCCACAGTGACGCAGATTCCATCCTCAACCTGGGCACGGGTAGGCAGTGATGGCGGAGTAATATATTTTATAGTGATTCTTTGGTCCCAAGGTGGTGGGACATATACAACATGCAGGTGGCCATGCACGACGGGTTTGCTCTTAAATTTGTTAATGTAAAGTTGGTCAACGGTGTCAGTACATAAAGGCGTCAACCGTTGAATGGTTTATGTCGGCAAGACATTACATTGCAACATTTATGTACATTAAAAATTGTAGGACTGTGAACACGTATAGATATATCGAAGCTTTACTTATCTTCCTTCTGGTCATGGCAAGTTATTATAAAGGTGAATGTATTGTTAAATGATATATAATCTCGCTTATTAGTTTTGTGAGACAAGGCAGGTGTTCAGACTCAGGTGTGTTGGCAGGTTATGGGCTAAGGCAGCCGGTCGGTCACCTGGACTTCTACCCCAACGACGGCAGGAACCAGCCTGGCTGCGACTCCCTCACCCGCGTCCCCATGACGGCCCTCACAGACGGTCTCAGCCTTTACGAGGGTCAGTCCTAAGTTCTCCCTTCATGATCTTCCCTCTTACCTTGATTCTAGTTCTTCAGATTTACTGAACATACAAAACCATCATGTCCTAGAAGGGCTTAAGGGGCACAGATCCCTCCTGGCTCCTCCCTCTCACAATTGCTGCCTTTTACTTTGTGCTTCAATTACACCCGGTCACTGGGCTGGACTTTATTATTTTTCCAGTCATCAAGTACAGATATACAGTAGACATCTCCAACTGTTGCATCCACCAACATAATCCTAAACAAGACAACTATGATCGTCAGCGCGCGACCGTGACACACCTCCGTTAACGTGCCAGATGTCCCCCTGCCAAACAAACTACCAACCTTCAACACCTCATCTAGCATCCTTTGTCTGGCTACTATTACGAGGTTCTTTAGGGTCATTCTGGGAGCTTTAATACGATGTAAACAAACACAGGAATGCCATATCTCACAAAACGCGCGTTACTGTACCAGGTATAAGTGCAGGCGACTTTACATTTTAAATCACCAACAAGGCTTCAGCTCCAGATGGGATTCTCTCACTTGTTCTCCAAAAGTGTTCAACTGAGCTTTCTCCTGCTCTGTGCAGATTATCAATTGGCACTTCAGCCTTCCGCTTTTCAAGGAAGTATGCTAACATTAATTATACCCCCAAAGAAAGGTGCTACATCCAACCTCTCCAATTATCACCCTAATTTCTCACCTCTAATAGTAGCAAAGACTTATAAATGGAAATCAATACAGTATTCACATTATTAAACACATTCAACATGACAATTTACTCAGTGATCAACAGTATGGCTTCAATTAAAAGACTGCAGTGGTGAGACACAGGCATCATGACATCTTCAAAACATAAGACAGAGTTTGACATCACACACACACAAACACCTCGCATGCGTAGATGAAAAGGAAGCATCCAACTTGGTTTCCTTTTATCAGTGCAAAATCATTTTACTTCAAATATCTTCAGCCTATGGCAAGGGGACGAGAACTCGGTGGATAAAACTAACATTACGTCTGATTTCTCTGTCTGCTCTTTTCATTGGTAAAACAAAACAACAACGACGACAATGATGTACAAAGCACTGCATTGCATCTTGTGGGTACATGAAGTATAAACAGTTACACCGAGGACTTGTAAAAGAATCTGTACCATGTTACGTTAGATCATGTGTCTCGTAAGTCAATGTTTTCTCTTCCTAATTAACATAGACGTCAAGTTTAGTAAACACTCCCAGAAGCACTTCCTTCACTCAACAGTATATTCACCTCCCACAGGCCTGGACGCCGCGCAGAAGGAGCTGGTCGCCTGCAACCACTTCAGGGCACCCAAGCTCTTCACCGACTCTATCCTCTCCCCCTGCCCGTACACCGCCTTCCAGTGTCCCTCCTACAAACACTATGTGAACGTAAGAATTCGCTAGTTCATAATTTGTTCTTTCTTCCTCTGGCGGACAGACTTTGTGAATAATTGTTTGTTTCCATCAAGCCAAGAGATTTGAAGGACCATATTTAAAGTCTGCCATAAGATCGATTCATTACTGTGTTCTGGATGAGATGCAAGAGTTGGTCATGCTGTAGGGAAGTTTGCCCCATATTCCAGGTGTATCTTATTGCAGGTTATCTTTTCACGGCATTGTGATCAGCTCCTATTGTCCTGACTGTGTAGGGGAAGTGTGTGAGCTGTGGGGAGGACGGGCGCGGCTGTGCTCGTCTGGGTCTTCACGCTGACAAGTGGCCGGGCAGTAACCAGAACAAGAGTCTAGTGAGCCTCTACCTCACCACCACCGCCGGACCTCACTACTGCTGTAAGTCTTCTAATTCTGCGTCTCTATAAATTTCAAGTCATACACTTATACTTTACTGACTATTTATCATCAAGCGAAGACAACAGATGACTTGACTATAAGTAAGAGGTCGTGAACCCACTCAAGAGCCAGCAGAGTTGTTTACAAATTGTCAAGTTTCTCTCTTGCTGGAGGCTTTATATACACTACACACCTGCCCAACACCTACGAGTCTCCAGCACTTGTCTGAGTTTCTAAAAAGCTGACGAAGGGTAGACCTCTAGTTACCGGGCAACAGTAATAAGTCATAGACTACTGTGAAGGCCCATACAACACTGGTCAGAGATCTCAGGCAGCCAACCACAACCCAGCCAATTATTGACACTCCAAGGTCTTGAGATTGCTTTTAACTACAGGTAAAACTCTTTCAGGAGATATCTGGTGTTAGCTTGTTGACGGCCAGACAGAGTCGTTCACTACTGTAATGAATAGATTGACTTAGGTTGTCCATCACGAAAATAAACCTTCAGGTGGTTGTGTTACTAGAACTACGTCGATCTCTTGCCTGAGTATATTTTCATCCCCTTCAGTGTATCACTATCTGCTGAAGCTGGATCTTGCTGACCCTGGAGGAGTGGTGGGAAACCTTCGTGGTAATCTGAAAGTTTCCTTTTTTGCTGATGACGGAAGCCTCCGAGACTTTAATCTTACACCAGAGTAAGTGATAATCTCAAATTTGCTAATAATAATAAAAATAATAATTTCCTACACTGGAAGACTGCAGTTCTGGCTGGGAGTTGCATAACCCACCAATAAATGTTTCTGGCGTCTTGCAGGAGGGCCAGAACCTTCGCCCGGGGCAGGTCTTATGTTTTCTTCATTGGTCACCACGAAAATCTGAGCAGTGCTAGAGAGGCCCTCGTCCAGTGGACTTATGAAGCTGATATGTTCAACCCGCTGAGTTACTGCGTCCTCTTCTGCGACACCAGTCTGCGTCTGGCCAAGCTCACCTTCACCAGCGTCGACCATGTGGATAACGGGTGAGTCTCACGGTAGTGTAGAAACAGTCTTGGTTTAACGAAAATACTATATATATTGTTGTGATTGGTTGATAATGTACTCCTCACAGGCGAACATATAAAAATGAATGATATACATTTTTAACTCAGAAAATGCCTCGTTTAATGAAGAGGAATTACATAAAAGTAACCGAATATTAATTAAAGGAAGTACAGTTATGTTTTTACTCTTTCCTTTCTCTCATGGCAACAGAGGAGCCAACGAGATAGAACGAGAGTCCAGCGAAACAACAGAAGAGTCCAGGGAGGTAGTGATGTGTCACCAGCAGGGTCTGGACATGGTGAGGATCAAGAGCGAGGCGACGGTGAAGGTGGTGTCGTCGGCCTCCTGCTTCAACGTCACCAGAGCCAACATCACCAGAGCCGCAGCCACGAAACAGAACAATCACACCTTAGACCTGCTGAACGCTGGCCTCGCCTCCCTCTCTTCACTCTTCAAAGACATGAATTTAATAGCAAGATAAAACTTCAACATAACCCACGTGAATCTTGGACTAAATACCGAGTAAACAAGAGAGAAAACACGAGGACAAACTCACATGTTTTATGCTTCTCCTCCATCATCATCATCATCATCACTTTTCTTCTCTTCTTTATTGAGGTGTGAAAGTTAGTTCAGCAGCTTTATTGGCAAGACTGGGGTACAATTTAAACCAAAATCTGAAAAGTTTAATGAGTTCTTGTCACCGAGGGTTTTATTACCGACACGTAAGACCGAGGTTTATACACAAGAAGAGATAATAGAATTGGTAATATTCATTAGTCACAGAGTTTACATGCCGAGTGTTCCTGTAACTTCGCTTAATTCTGGCCACGACTACGTCACATTGTCTGGTTCTGTCCTTGTGCTGGCCACACCGCTAACTCTTGTCACAAATTTTTTCATATTTACTAATGTTACAACGGTCAGGTTCCTGCAGGCCATTTCTTATTGGTCAGAGTTCACGATATTTACTTGAATGCTTTTAAGTACAGCATTTATAGTCCAAGATCACGGTATATTGTCTTTGTTACTGCGTCATTGGCCAATCGATCAACAAGGTCAAGCTGGCCAATTTTAACATGGGACAGAGTTCATACAGGATCACTACAAAGGTTACCCTCCTTAGCAATTATCACATACCTTTTAATATCACATATCACTTAAAATATTAAGGCTGATATGCCGTTCATCGATTGCAAAACAGTCACAGAAAATCACATCACCTCCATTTTCTTTCAGGCAAGTCAGTGGCTAGGTAGACTCACATTAATTCACTCTGGGGTTGTGCTGGCCTAGTTGTTCAGTCTTCACGTTTGATATTATTGATTCTTTCTATTTACAAACTGCACATACACAATCTAATCTACCCGCATCTGACTGCAGACAACCATCCGTAAAAGCAGAACATTCACATAATACCCTGATGATGATAATAAGTATTTAAAAGTTTGCTTACCTCGAACAGGTGTGTAATGATTAAGAACTGGTATATCTAGCTTGGGCGAAAGCTGGTAATGGGTAGAGTTTCGTCACTATTTGTCCAACCCGGAATGAAAATGAACTTTCCAGGCAAGTGTGTAAGACCAGTTTACAAAAACAACTGTACTCAGGGATTAAAATCTCTATGAACTGCCATTTAAATAACAGCGAAATCATGTAACCCGAATCTTTTTTTACATTATATAAAAATTGAATACTACTAAATTATTTGTAAGTTTAAACTGTACTCTGGACGAAAGGTCTGTCCGTTGAGCACCCTGATCTTCAACTGTTTCTACGTCATCAGTGCGCATTGAGAGGTTGTTTTGTTTCATCTTGGTGTGTGAACGATTCCCAGCAGCTCAATATTTTTTTCCTAGTATATATTTATAATTTAAACTTCTCAATTAATCTATTCGACATCAAGTTAATTCTTAATATAACTAGAGTCACCATGCTGTAGTACTTCTTGATGTTTACTTTAGGTCACAATGAAGACATCTTCCTCAATGCTAGGTCACTGTAGTCACCTCCCTCACCACTCTTTATCATCATGTTACCAGGTCATAAGCAGCTCGCTCATCCCTGCCCCCTGTGCTCTCTTGAAATACGGGTGGTAACAATGATCTAATGTGTTGATAGATTATACTTACCCCCCTGTATATATATGTGTGTATGTGTGTGTTTTATTTAATATTTTCTCCGTACATCACACACACACACACACACACACCAATCAATATTCCCATACCGGAGTGTTTAAGTCTTGATTCACAGCCTCGACAAAACCACCTTCAGGGAATCAAATAAATAAATCCTGACACGACTTGGTGTTTTCATCTGTTTTGTTAATCCTCTACCTACACTCCCTCTCCTCCCTCGCCTCCCCCACAGTATTCCCTCCCTTGCCCAACAGTGCCCCTCGCCTCCCCCACAGTATTCCCTCCCTTGCCCAACAGTGCCCCTCGCTTCCCGACAATAAGAATTCTCACCTCACTACACCTGTAATTATCCCTACTAGCTAGTGTTAAGTTGATTAATATTCAGGTAAAATAATCTGGGGTGTTTAATCTTCATGTGATCCTTCCCTCCTTCGTAGTAAGGTCGAAGCCTGGTCAGCAATGTGCTTACCTGACTCTGTATATACGAGTCGAGTGGTCAAGTATTTATGAATGACTGGGTATTGGTGTGTAACGACGGACGTGATAGATTTGCTACAGGTCATATAGGTTGACCGTTTGGAGATACGGGTTACCATGGTGTGTTGGAGCCCCCACCCACACCCCCACCCCCACCCACACCCCCACCCCCACCCCCACCCCCACCCACAGCTTATTTCAGCCGATGATTGCACCTTAACACTACCTGGAGGTGTTAGGTTATATATTGTTTGGATATGTTGTGCTGTTAGGTTAGGAAAGGTCAAATAAGTTGTATCTTATATTAGGTTAGGTTATACTATGTTAGCTCAGGCTAGGTTATATGCTAGGTCAGCTAAGGTTAGTTTAGGTTATATTGTGTCAGGTCAGGTTATGTTAGGTTAGGTTAGGTTAGCGCCAGGATGGTTAATCTTTAAGGTGAAATAACCTGGGGGTACTAATCTTCAGGTGATACGGTTCTTAATTAAAATACCCAAGGTTAGGTTTCCATATTAATCAGACACGTAACACTACATCACGTTCAGGTTCCCGGGGTAGGGTAGGGTAGGGTAGGTGTCTGTTACCACGAGTCCAGGGAAGGTTGACGCGCGAGAAGGACATTCTAATGCGCTAGGCTTCTCTCTGTTTATTGCAGGGAGATGTGGGAGTACTTGTGGATGCGTTGTCTACTCCGCCATCCACTCCAAGTCACAGTGTGGAGTAAGGTAGGGAGGCGTGTGTGTGGGGGGGTAAGGGAGGGCTGGGGTGTGAAGAGTGGAAGGTAAAAAGAGCCTGGGTGAAGGGCGTAGAGAGGGCCTGGGTGAGGGGCGTAGAGAGGGCCGGGTGAGGGAGGTACAAAGGCCCGGGGTGAGGTTAGGTAGAAAGGAGTTAGGTAACGGAGCACCTGACAGTGTGACTCCCGGCTGTGTGATGCTCGTGACGGCCGTCCTCTGCTCCACGGGTGTGCTGTGTGGGGTCAGTCTATTCCAGTTATATAGAAATGCGAAAGTGAAAGAAAACAAAACATTCACCGGGTTTGTGTGTCAGAGACACATAACACGGTTTTTGTTTTCATTCATGAATCTTTTGATGAAGCTCCACGAGAGCAGTACAACGCCAAGGTCTGCTGGCTACCGGTGTAAACAGTTGCACGTGCCGAGATGAAAGTGCGCTGCCTGCAACCAATATTATCAATGCAATCAACTGATGAAATAAACGTTATTGTTCTCAATCTCAGTGAGAAAGTAAACGGCCTGACATCAGTTACAAGTGTAAATTGTTATTTAATCTGTGAGAGGTGAACGTGAAAGAACGAGGAAATTAGGGAGTAAAACTAAATATTTTTGAGTACAATATGATGGCTCATGTGAACTGTTGTTGAAACAATTTGGCGGTGAGTGAAGGTGTAGTCGTGGATACATCCTCGGAGGCAGTATAGTAGCGGCTGGTGGTAGGGGCGTCTGTGTACACAGTAACAGCGAAGGCGCCTCCCTTCTATTTCTCTATGAGCTCGTCTCCCCGTCGGCACTGGCAGTCGCCACCAGGACCTCGCGTGTGCTGGGGTTCAATGATCGCCGTCACCAACGCAACATTACAGCGGTGAACTCCTTCACAACCAGCGTCTCACCACGACACCCGCACCGTAAGTGTCATTGTGTTAGTTCACTCTGGGTCTATTCCAGATACTCCATAATGTACACTACACAAACATAGTTTGATAATCAACGATGGCCAGTGTGTTTGCAGTGGTTCACCCTCTCTCAAATGTCAACAAGTTCCGCCCTGCTGGTCAAACCTCTTAACCCACTAATGCAATTAAGTGATTTTGAAGCCTTAACACAGTCCTCTAGGCTTCAACACTCCCCATACACCGATATCTGATGTCAGGCAGCCAGGGTTATGGTGTTACGCAGGAAGTGATGTTTTTGAGCAATAGTTTCACAATATTTTACGCACGTGCACTTCCTCGTCACGGTTTACTCTTCTAAACAAAAGAATCGATCGAATGACAAGAAGTATCGAGATTAAACTCCAAATCGTATTGTTTTTTTCGGCGTTAAAAGATAAACATGAAAAACCTGCGCGAGGAAATATCTTATTTCTTACTTTATTTACCCAAGGTTCACCACAACTAGAGGTGGCCATGCCGAGAGGAGGCAGCCAGTGGCTTGTGTAGGATCCCTCCATTGGTCTTGATAGTCTTGCCAAGTGTTATTTGAACAAACTGTGAAAACGTGACTAGCAACTAAAATCCTCAGGACGGTACTACAATCAGAGGTCGCTGTCCACCTTGACATATAGTATATTCCTTTCTACACCCAGGAGTCTGAGCGAGCGTCCCATTTTGCGAAGAACACCAGAAGCCAGAATTCCCTTATGATTCAGGCAGCCGCGACACAGGAGATACCAACGTTAGTTTCCCTTTGAGAGTGAAAGCGGGTGTGACGTCACCTGGCCTCTGGGTTATGGAGACTTTCTCTGTACCGAGACACGGTCCTGGTGGAGGAGGATGTTTCTGTTGACGGTATACACATTGTCTGTCCAGTCCAGTTTACTTTATACAGAAGGGAAGGGGGATGTGGAATGGTGGCTGAATAGAAGGGAGGGTGAAGGGAGTGTGATGAAAAGTACAATGTAAGCAAGCAAAGAGGTGGGTAGATAGGCATGTAGTGATTAAATAGTAAATTCATAATAGAAGGTAGGCAGTAAACACAGAACTGTATAGCTACGTTACGTGATAGGTTGTGTGTGTACACACCAAGAAGTTGAGAGCAGCCGAGGGTGGTGGATGACCTCGTTCGGAATGCAAGAGATTTGTATGGTACAATCCCTCCTCAGTGTAGCCTCGACATAAAGATGGTGGTCAAGATAGCATCAACAAGTGTAGGGATCTGTGAGCGTCCGTAGCCTGGTGTGTTGTCATAGTCTTACACGTGACAACTTGGTGACCGGTCAGCTGAGCTAGCCACTGACTGGACAGGTGGCTTGTTTTGTTTATTGTTCTTGCTCGTCGTAAGGGGTTGGCCAAGGGCTTCTCACTTGGGTTTGATAAGCGCCGGGACCCTGGTACAGTACAGTGATATACCTACTTCCTCGCATGACCCGATTATTTTCCCACCCTGATTCAAATTACACCAGATGCCAACAAGTTGAGGAAGAAAAGTGCAAAAGAAGTCACTACGACAGCTAAAAACACCCGTATATAGTATCAATGATCCAATAAATTCTACCTCCATCCCTCACTGTCAGCACTGAAGGAGAGGCGACCGGGACGACCACCCTCTTCTATCACAATTATCTACGGTAAACATAATGAACAGTACAAAGCATCAACATATATCATCGTGATGAACAGCGTACTTCAGTAACAGCAGCCACCGTTAACACCCATGTATACTGAAGGACTTCCACGTAACATCTAGGCACTCCATAACTGTCGTGGTGTGCTGCTAAGTCAGAGGAGATAACCAAACTTGCCTCTCCTAGTGGTTTTTAGAGTTTACGCTGGGAGGCTTCAGTCACGCAGCCGAGTGTGGAAGTGTTTTAGGTCGGCAATTTTGCTGACTTCAGATATTTCTATTGTTATACAGGGTGGTATGGGGAGGCGCAATAGGCTAGTTAGTGGACACAAGGTCGCCAATCATTGTCTGTTGATATACCGTGTAGTCCTTATGAAACACCGCCTCCTGGGACGTGTGGTGAACTACAGTATAATTTATCTATTGTTTGTTTTTTTACTCCATTGTGAACCCGAGAAGGTTTAATTGAGGTGTTATCTGTACCAAAAAGGGGAAAAAAACCCTCTTAAAATAAAGACTCAATCCCCACAACACAACAGACGTGCAAGAGTTATAAGGATGAAGGATACATACAGTCTTGGAGTGAGGTGAACTCTTTCAAGGGCAAACAACACGTGTTCTGCTAAACTCTCTCTCTCTCCCTCCTACACGTCACACACTAACCTGAATATAAATATTTATTTATACAGTAATGACCCCGGTGTTGTGTGTCGGTGTATGCTTGTGTATGCTCTCGGTTGTATATTGTCTGTCAAGGGTAAGGCGAATCACCATTAACTTATTCACTGACTGACTGACAAAACTACCCAAGTCTCCAGTGTCGTGCAGCAGTGTCAAGCCACGCCCTACTTATTACGTCACTCCTACCTCGTTGGTCCACACACCTCAGTAATTCTCAAGTCACAGAAAACAACAGTAAAGATTTAAACTATACAGATGAGAGGAAAACAAATACCAGTAATAAGTGCAAGTAATAAATAACTAAATAAACCCTGAAACTAAATATATATATTTTGATGTTCTTTGTCTTTTACATTACAGTATACACTTACTGCAGTAAATACTATTAACATATTTAATCACGTAACAATAGTGGTTGTTGCCCCTCTGGTACGAGGATGGCCGGCCCAAGGGCCACCTCGGCGAGAATTTGTTTAAGGTGTAGAAGCTGTCGCCAACACAACAACCACAACCTAAGTTAACGAGTTGCATGACCCAGTGTCAAGGAATAAACCGAGAAGACCGGACAACTCAACAACTGCACTGGCTAACCATTACCCCAGAACACGATCCGCAAATCGATTAACTGCTGGGTAGATACAGTGAAATAGCGTAAAAAGAGAAGAAAAAACAGTTTCACATTGGTCGGGAATCGAAACCGGGTCCACTCGCTTGCGAGGCGAGCATGCTGACCATTACACCACAGTTCACTAAAATAACAATTTTTTTTTTCGTGCTGGTCAAGCCCCGACCAGAGGTTAGCTAGACCCCGGACAACTCTTTCGGAGCTTGACCAGCACGTGGTATTGGTATTATTATCTCGATTTAATTATATGTTACAAAGTCACTTGTGAGGTTTTTCAAAGTTCTTTTTGATAATATTAACTAATTCTAAAGCAAATGTCAACAAATAAATAACTTAAATAATACGAAAACAAACAAATAAAAATGGAACTGTATCTAATATATACTGTATGTTACACTATATATGGATAATTGATGATTAGTGATAACTTCTATGTATTTCTCGTTTTGGGAAACTTTTTACTGGCCATAAACGATCCTGTAGATCATAAATACGTATACATATAATGAATACCTTCATACTAAACCTAACCTAACCTACTTAAAGTGTAATTTAGCCATCATGACAGTAAACGACATTTTAACTGAAGACTAAATTTTTAACATATACGAATTAATCTTAATTAAGTTGTAATAATGAAACCAAAAATTTATCTCTATTTGACTAAACCGACTGATGATTTGTAAAAGCTTAATAGTAGACTATATAATCCTGGCCATTAAACTAAATAGGGATAATTGACAAATATCGATAATTTCTATATATTATTTTAAGCTTCTAACTGGCCATCGGCGATCATGTACTTCACCATATTAAGTATTAATAAATTGTGAAATAGAAAACTTAAACTAACTTAACCTAACCTTAACGAATATTAACTATTATTTTTTTTTCGTTTTAATACAGGATAATCATCATGGGTGATATGATGTATCATAAAAAATGGAAATGTGAACTTAAGTTTTGGAGAAAAACAATTAAATCTAAAGTTACCCAAAACAACAGTAAAGACTTAAACTATACAGATGAGAGGAAAACAAATACCAGTTATAAGTACAAGTAATAAATAACTAAATAAACCCTGAAATTAAATATATATATTTTGATGTTCTTTGTCTTTTACATTACAGTATACACTTACTGCAGTAAATACAAATAATTTATACATTTCCATTGTCTTAAAAAGGTTAAACTGTAGTCTTCAAAGGGTTAAACAATCGTCCTCAAAGGGTTTAAACCAATCGTCCTAAAGGGATTAAAACAATCATCCTCAAGGGGTTTAAACCAATCATCCTCAAGAGGTTAAACCAATCGCCCTAAAGGGGTTAAACCAATCGTCCTCGAGGGTTTAAAAATCGTCACAAAGGGCTTAAAAATCGTCAAGGGCTTAAAAATCATCACGGGGTTAAACCAATCGCCCAAAAGGGGTTAAACCAATCGTCCTCAAGAGGTTGAACTAATAGTCCCCAAGGGGTTAAAAATGCCCTCAAAGGATGAAAAAAAATCGTCCTCAAGGTTACAACTTATCTCCGGACGACATTAGAACAAAAGGTATCCGAAGGTGACACGCCACGTCGCTTAAAACCTACAATTCACTTTGGTGCAGTGTCAGAGATGCAATTATACAGATAAGTATATAGCGATTCAAGAATACAATGTTGGTGTCTTAGCGAGATAAAAATATATAACGAAGAGTATTACAGTCACACAGCGATAATGTTAGTGATATAGATTATTATACAGTGGTACAGTTACACATGTTAAACCGATATAGGAGCTTACGAGCTTGGTGGGTGGGTAGGTCGGTTAGACTCGTGTCACGCTGGCCACTTGTCGCTCCCAGGTGACAAGAGATCACGCCACTCAGCCACTTGCGTCTCTTTTTATGCAATTTTTTTCCTAAGTTCCTATTATTTCACTCTTCTTTTTCCTCATGATTGCTATTGGTTATCAACAGTACCCATTTGTAAATAGAGGGGATATTATTAGTTAATTTGAAAAAGCACGAAATACGAATCCTATTTTACATTATGCGTT